GGGGGGGGGGGGGGGGGGGGGTGCAACATGACACCGTTCCGTGCAGACAGAGATGGTGCAGCGGTCTCGGTAACGAGATCTGCTCCGAAGTTGCGACACTACACCGCAGGGAGTGGGTGAGGAGGGGAGCCCCTCCTTATTGTACCCTGTTGTCGCGCACCACTTACTCTTCGGCTCCGTTGGTGCCGACGATAGAGCCGCAGCCTTCGCCTCCGCAGACACCGTTGCACTCCTCAGCGCAGCAGACGCTGCCATCCTGGACGCCGGCAATGCCGTTGGGGCACGTGGAGGCAACGAAGTCTGCGATGCGAGAGAGAGAGCGCGCCAAACAAACGACGGGTTAAAATAGAGGGCAAACAAACAAGGATACAACCAGCGACCACAAACAGAAACCGTCAGGGCGAAGAAAAATCGTCGAGGACACCAACGAACACAGAGCACGAGCCGTAGGTCAACGCTGGCTGGCTTCTATACTACATATCTCAATTCGGCAAGGGATTCTTAGTGCGGGAAAGCGGAGGGGGCTGTTGGGCTCGGGGTGGGCCGTTGGGGGAGAAATCAGCTCGGCAAACACCGCACACACACAAGACAGAGAGAGGGATCCAGATCGAGATATCGAGAGATAGAAGATCAAGAGATAGACAGAGGGAGCTAGAGAGACGGCCAACACATCTGTGACGTCTCTTCTCTTCTTTCGCTGAATCTGCTCTGTGGCACGTACCCCCGCTTCTCCGTTTACGGGCAGGCACTATTTACTCGGACCCTTGGCTTACCGGGGGGGTCCATGACGCAGGGGGCCGCGTTCGTGACGGTGCACAGGTCGTTGACAATGGCAATCTTCGCGCGAGCGAAAACGACAGGCGCGTTGTGGACGGACGGAGCGATGGATTGATGGGCGCACGAAAGAACACGGATAAGGGACCGGAAAGGACGGTGTTGTACTGGATGATTTCGCGTGGTCGCAGAAGAGGAAACCGAATACTTGAGAAAATTCTTGGCGCCGAACGGGCTGCTGCTTCGTTTCTGCTCTAGGTCGTCACCACAACACTATCAACACCCCGACGCCCTCCCATGATAGCGTGCCCGCCCGCCCGCCCGCCCGCCCGCTTTTCTCTTCTACCCCTTCCTTACTCCAGCTTCTCACGGCCCTATCTCTCCTCCCTTTCTCGGACCCGCGGTCAAGCTGCAAACACCGCGAGTGCACACAGCAACGACGCCTCACGCTGGCAACACGTACGTACCTCCTCGGAGCAGCAGTCCAGGCCGGTCAGGCCGGTGACGTCACCACAGCCATCGCCGCCGCACAAGCCGCACGCGGCGTCACAGCTTCACCACGTTGACGAAAACGCGCACGCAAGCGAGCGAGAGGGCGAGGACGCCGCCAGACGTCAGAAAAAAAAAAAAAGGTAAACGGAGAAGCGAAGAGCGGGCTTTGTTTCTTGGGAGGTGGGGCGGGTGGACCGGTGGACGGCAGATGCCGGATAGTGTGCCTGCCTTGTTGAAAAGAGAGATGAGCAGGCGGGGCACGGTGGTCTCAAACGGGTAGGAGTGGTGAGCAAGCCGGAGTGGATCTAGCCGGCGACTCGCTGTCGGCGGCACATACCGTAATATCCTCTGAATGGTCCCCGGGAGGACATCTATCTTCCTTGCCCACAACGATATCCCCGGGGCTATCTCTACGGTAGGGGGGACATACAAAAAAAAAAACACCCGGGGACAAATTTCCCCGGACAGATCTACTAAAAACACACACACAACCACAAGAGTTTGGTGTTTTCAACCGCGCAAAGACTGACGTCTTTTCATTGGTCAGCCGGTTAGCGCCGTCGATGCAAACAATAAAAACACACACACACACCACCCTCACACACACAAGTACCTCACCTCCGAAGCTCCACGATGTCTGGTCTAAACACCATCTACGAACAACAAGAACTCTGGTTCGGTTGCACCGATTTCGGAGAACGATGTTTGTACCATCACGCGACATTATTGCTAAACGCGCGGACGGAGCCCGTGAACGTCGGACCTTGTTCCGACGGCATTCAACAAAACACACCAACCGATTTCCATGCACTCCTCCACCGGGGACGCGTTTTCTATGCGCAAAACGCCCCCGGGAACACGTTTTTTATTAGCAGAAAAATATGTCCTCGGGAAGATTTCTACGGTAGGGGGGAGATCTTTATAAAAAAAAAAAAAATGTCCCCGGAGATAACTGCAGCGTTTTTGTGCCCATTTCGGCCACATTGGGGGGGGGGGGGGGGCAATTCAGAAAATATTACGGTATAGCAACGTCACCTTCCCCCCCTAAAAAATACACGCCGCTGTGGTTATTGTTTGGGTTCCGCATCTGTTTTGGCTATGGTTGGGGACGCTCTTCATGAAAAAAGCACGCACTACACATCCACACGTACCAGATAAGGTTGACCGGGTCCTCAATTCCGACGATGCCGTTGCTGCAAGTAGTCGAGTTGTCCGCTTCGGCTGCGAAAAAAAAAAAAAAAAAAAGTGCCAAACAGAAAAAAACATCAGAGTCACAACATGCACAGGTCTAATGCACAGCGCGAATACAGCAGTACCACCAACTGGACATTGGCTGCAGCTAGATAGAATACATGCCTTGCTCATCCCAAAATCCATCGCACAAATATGCAGCATGCGGCACTAGGTACATTTACATAACTGGAAAATAGCATGGACTACTTCCTGCTCATCACCTTCCCATGCGCAAAAAATGAACTACACGACACGTCGAGATGCAAGTCTACATACTTCGTACGAAGAATTTTGTATGGGACTCTGACCTGCCCATCACCTTCCCATGCGCGAAGAATTTTTGCCCAAACACGCCACAAGGTTAGTGTACACACGAAGGATGGACCCCTTCCTGTGCATCACCTTCCCATGAGCGAAAAATCATTGCACAAATACTTACGTCTCGATGAGGACCCCTTTCTTTCTCCTCATCACCTTCCGACGCGCGCAAAGAACGAAAACACTTACCGGCTCCCACGACGCAGGGGGCGGAAACCGTGTCGGAGCAGACAGCCCCGGACTCGATGATGAGGTTGGAACAGCACTGGGTGGCGTCCACCCCGGCGAGGGACCCGCAGCCCTCGCCGCCGCAGGAGTCGCCGCACACCAGGGGGCAGCACACGTCCGTGTCGGGGTCCTGTACCCCTGTCTGACCGTTTTCGCAGACCGAGTCGTTCGAGGCGGCGGCTGCGCATCAAGAGCGGGGACGGGGGCGGGGTGGAGAAAGAGAGGAACCGTCAAGTCGAATCTTGCGTACGCAGGACGTTGTCGCTCTCCACGTTGTGTGGGCGTATTGTAAGGTATTATCCCTGTCGGTGTGACTGCAACGAGATTCGAACCCGCGCCCAACACGTCAGAAGGGCGCGAGGAAACCTCACTCAGCTTCAAATGTGTATGTGCCGCCAAAGAAAGAACACAACAAAAAGTGGCCATGGCGGCGGATTCCGCAAGCAACCCACGCCTCGAGCAGGGCTTACCGGTCGTGATGATGCACGGCGCAGCCATAGAAACTTCGCAAAGGGTTCCGGACTCTATGATCTCGGTCGCGCAGCAGTCGGCCGACGTGAGGCTAGACGTGTTGGCCGGGGTGCAACCGACGCCGCCGCAGAGTCCGCATTCCTCCACACAGCTTCGCGTACGTACGCGATGTTTTTTGCACGCCAGGCGATGCATGCGTGGGAGTTTGGATACAACGTTAATTCACTTACAGGCGTAGGGATGCGCACACGGGAGGACGCACTGGGGCAGACAAGACTCCAGAGGATTTACCAACACAATTAAAATAAAAAAAATAGAGAGAAGCGAGGGAAACAAGAGCAACTGGCCAAGCAGCACCAGCAGATGCTACGATTCGCATCACATTGAGCACGGCACCCACCCACCCTCCGTGCGACAAACGATACGCACACCACCCCGTACTACCAGCACTCGTCTACCGATCAGCCTTTCGGCTCGCGCTGGGGTCTTCCACACGGGGAGTTTTCCGTGCACGCTTGGTGAGGCACACGACCGTGGGTTTGGCGACGACTGACGACGCCATCGCCGACGACAAACACTGCAGGACTCCCGTACACTGCTCTACACGCACCAGGCGTCCAGGCTGGTCGACTGGATACCCTCGAGTCCGTTGCTGCACACGGCTCCTGTTGTGATCGTCACCGTCGTTGTTGTAGAGAAGGCAAGAGTAGTCCCAGACGTGCCAAAAGTCAAGACGACATCGGAAGGTGGTGAGGAGAATACAGTATTCCACGGGTTGCTGTCATGGTTTCGCTAGACAAGCCATGATCGCAACCATCAGCAATATTTTGGTACCAGGTAGAAAACAACACAACAAACACAGGTACAGCCGCCGTGGACATATATAGGCGGAGGGTTGGGGGGGGGAGGCCCAAGCACAAAATTCTGTCTCACTGTCCAACCGATGCTGTTTGCAATAACGGCCACGTTGCTGCAGGTTGTCGTCAACCTGGAGAATGACACGGATACGAAGACTGTCAAGTGTTCGAGGAAACGAGTGTCACAATACAGAAAGTAGTATTTTAGTACAGCTGTTTCCCCCCGCACCACATACATATGAATAGTAGTTCAGACTCCGACGACCAAAGAGGCCAATCAAATAAATTAAACAGCCAAGTAAAATCTTTTCATGTGCCCTCCAGTCCTCGTCACCTCAGAAAAACCGGAATTACAGGTACATCTAGGTTACAGTATCGTAATTTTCCTTGTTGAAAGTCAACACCAACACCAAAACAGCCACGGAAACTTCAGTAAGGTTGATATAGATCCATCCACAACCGAACTCAAGTGTAAGGACGGCCTGCGCTTCTGGTAAATGTGCACACACTACTGGTGGTATCATTTTTTATTCGAACTCAACTCTACTGCTGTTGTAGCGGATGAGCAGCCGTCTCACCTGCGGGAGTCATGGTGCCCACGAGAAGCGCGATGGCCACGCACACCAGAGCGGTGAAGCTCGTCGCCTTGCCCAACATGATGACGACAAGGGGTGGTCGGTCTGAGGGCGTGTGGAGAAAAAAAAAACTGCAGGGAGGAGGGCCAAGAGCAGCAGCAGTAACGGTCCGGGGAACGGATCACGTAAAACTTTGAGAAAACGAGAATTATTTCCACTGTTGGACAGAAATGAACTGATTGAAGAAATCGCAGCGAAAACGATCACGGTGACGGGTGCAAGGGGGGGTTGGCGGCGAGGCCAGGACCACAAGGTGGCAGCTTTTTATCCCTCGTGAGCAGACAAAGGGGAACCAGTACTCTTGCTTCCCAAGACAAACGTGTACTGGAAAATGCTGGGAAAAACATGTTTTCTTCTAGTGGACACGCAAGGCGCTTGCAGCAGTTGTGCGAGTTCCTCGGATTCCTTCATGAAGCAAGGCAAAATATGTCTCGAAACACCCGGGTGAGGTGTGTTGTGATTACCACGGCGGCTTTCGAAGAACACTCTCAAGTGCGCAGCAGCAGCGAACTACTTTATTTAATGATTGGCTTCCGTGTTCCAGGGGAAGGCCAACTGGCATTTTTTCATTTTTTAGTCAGTGTGTTTTTATTATTCCTTAAAAATATCAAACGGAAAAAACGCCGGGAGGCGGAGGAACAACAGAGTACAGCAGTACGTAGATGCCCCAACACCACACCGCTCACGCATGACTGACAGGTTGTGAAAATCTGCCGAGGCCGATCAGAGCCAGGCAGTTGCAGCAGCAGCCTCGACGACACGCATACCCCTTGCACAGAAATAGCAAAGGGGGAAGGTGTCTAGCTAGCGCGGAGAGGTGGGGTAGTCAGAAGTTGGGGTGATGAAGTAAGTGATGAAGAGGCAGCAGGCTGCCTTTTTCCGAAGTTCTGACCCAAGTTCGAACCGAGGAGCGCGTGTCAGCTTCCCACACATTTCAACTTCGTTAAACGTTGTTTGGGACGGAGCATCAACACAACAACGGTGACACAACAGGGGCTGCCTGGAAGCATGGAGTAGTCAACTGCACGGCTCTCATCCCTCGTAGCGACCCTATCTACCTCGACCTCGATTGCCCCACCACAAGGCAACAGGCAGGTTTGTCAGCAGCTTGATGCTCTGGCGCTGCAAGCAAAAAAAAAAAACTCTTCTCTTCTCCCCTGTCGGCGCGCTCCTCGTGAAACGGGCGGCCACCGTCGTTTGCTTTTCGCCAAAGAAAACGTGAAGCAACATGAGCCTGCTGCTGTATTCAAGAGCACACGCTGGCCCGACCAAGCTCGGTTGGCGCTGCCCTGCTATCATGAGCGCGCAACCGGGGAACGTGTGCCCCGTGTTCAACAGCTGCTAGTCTATGAGGTGTTGAGTGAGAAATTTCAGCGCTTGCACCTCGCTCTCTTGTACTGCTGTACGTACAAAAGAACATCCCCTGCTCGTCGCGCCCTTCATTGATGCGATGCTGCCGGAGACAACGGCAGCCCCTAGTAGTATCATACCTGCCGTGCGACATCTATGTAGCCCATCACATAGCCAGGCAGCTCCAACCTGTGAGCTCGACATTTTCTGAGGACAACAGAACGCGCCCTTTAGCGCCAACGTTCTTTGGCGTGGGCGAGGCTGTGCAAATCCGACATTTTTCGAAAAAACAACTGGCCATCCAGTCACAGATGCAACAACACAACAACAACACCCCTGCCCGTAATATCAAACTCCATACTCTGCAAGTACACACGGTTCACCTGGTGCTCAGGAGTCAAGCGGTCGAGATCGATAGGACTAGAGCGCTAGGGCGGCGTCAGGTTGATTTGTTGTGTGCGCTGGGTCTCTTTCTGCTACAAAGCAGTATCGCGCGCGCGCCTCTTCAACTTTTCAAACGAAGGCACATCTTGCTGCTCATTGGTTGGAATTTCAACGGTCCCGTGTTCTTCGGGAAAATCGTAAAAATTCCTGTAAGGTGTGTAGCCGTGTCGACCGTTCCGGCGCTCTCGCCATCTCCCTCTCGCCACTCAACTCTCAAGCTACGGCGTAGAAAAGTAACCTGGCAGGTACAAGGCCTGACGTGCTGCGGTAGACTACGAGAGGCCCTCGTTATTCAAATGGCACCAGCAACGTGAGGTGCATGTGGTTTAAATTTTCGTCCTGTATGTAAAGTACAAGCCCGTACAAATACTACAGCAGGTGCGGTGTTCCGAGCAGGAACCAACCGCTCTTTCGTGTAGCCCAACGGGATTCAGATTACCTTTTGGCGACATGGTATGGGTATGACCTTGAAAAGAAGGCGTTTTTATTCATATTGTCTACTCTCCATGGGCGACCTGCTGTGTCGCTTGGTAGCACTTTTGTTCTATCATGACTTGGGGGAAACGGTACTGCAGGCATCACTTGGTTTCGGTCCCTTCCATATCACTCGAGCCCTTTTCCCTTTGGTCACCACATGCATGCTGTTTTTTCGACATGGCGGCTGAAGCACACAGACAGCTACTTCCTTCCTGCTGTAGCTCGAGTGTTTGGAGCATCGCAAGCATCGAGCAATAGCTGCTATGAACACTTGTATGGAAATGGGATGCGGTGCATGCAGCATCGTCTATTTAGAACGCATCAGGGGAACTCCGTAGTTGCTTCTTATCCCAATGAAATGTGTGACTGCACGAGTTGACGGGAGCACCGACCACCATGGATGTATGCAAATGCAGGCGACAGGCTTGGGCAGACTCTCATTTCGATCAAGAGTTGTATGCATTTGCGTACCCTTGTTATTAACGAGTTACCCCCGTCTTCCAAAGGCGGTTTGCGCTTCTCTCTGTTCTTGGCCGAGGTATTGTTTGCGTCATCAGCAACACAGGTGCGTCATCAGCAAGGACGGGCGCGTATTTGGTTTCAGGGGGAAATGCTCTACTAACAAGCCTAAAAACACGATGAACACAACCCTGATTTAGACCGCGTCGCCGTTAGCGTCGCCTTTCGTGAGGGGTCGCGGGATGATGGGGGTTCTTCTGGTATCCACGCTGCGCCTGCACCTGCCACGCCCACGCCGCGGCCACCTTGGTCAATTTTGGTCCATCGCCTTCGTCGGTTCCCTCTTCGGGACAGCCATTCTCCGCCGCAACGCCGCCACCCCGCAACCACGCTCGCGCTGGCAGCTAGGCCCGCCCGCGCCGCCTCCTGTCGCATGTTCAGTGCTGCTTCCTGTCGCGATGCCGCATTCCTGTCGCGATGCCGCCGCCGCTTGCGGCGTCACCTTCGGCGTCGGCGTCGCCCGCTTCGGGCCGGCCAGCGCGTGTGACAACGCCACCACCGCCGCCCCCGGCGATGCTCTCGCTCACCTGGCACGTTTCGCGGCAGCTCCGCCCGCGGGTTCGAAGGCGGAGGATACGGGGGACCCCCGGCTGCAAGCCTGCTCGAGATCACAGCAGACGCCGGCTGACGTCATTGACCTCATGAGGCTCAAACAGACTCAATGCAGTATCCAGCTGGTTTTCTGTTCACTGCTGTAGAAACTTCAACGCGTCCCTTCAATTGGGACGTGCCTCAAAAGGGAAGACCTTCTATGACCCCTAAGCCTAGGCACTACGTTTAATAGGCGCGCCGAGAGACACAGCTTGGTGACGGACATGTGGCTGGTCCAAAAAACGTCTTCCAACCACTTGCCCATGCCTAGCCACTCAAACACTTTCGCCTTCAAGAATTTGGACATTCCCATCATTGTCGCGACGCCTTCGTTTGCTCTTTGGAATGATGATTGCACTACAGTGCTGCAGTGCGCACTCTCTCTGCGGACAATCAAATGTTGCCCGTCGGCCGAGAGCCGTGTCTCGAGAAACAAAGGCGATTAGGGAGTGACGGTCCCTAGTTGATGTATGGCCTGGATGCACGGGTCGAACGCTGCCCCAGCAACAGAGTGGATGCTGAAGCCAACAGCACTTGCACTGTAGGACATATCTTTGTCAGAATTTCAACAGCAAACCAAATGATTGCATTTGCCCGCCTGGTTTTGTCGATCATCAGTCCACTCCTTCGCTAACGGCACCCGCGCGTTGCAATCGTCCTCTGATGCACCAGGGAAGAGCACAGCTTGGCGAGAAACCTGTACTCGAACATCATGTGCTTTCATCCCTTATCCAAGCGCATCCATCCATACCCCTAGTCGCACAAAACAATCCTCGATAATCCCAAATTTCACCGCTACATATGCTACTCCATTTCAGTTTTTACCTAACACCCAGTCTTTTTCGTGTAATTATATGTTTACCTCGCTGAACGCGACGTTTTGAATCTATGAATTCATCTTCTCCCCTCCGCGGGGCTACACCACACTGTTCATACACGACACCGATTATTGCTAGGACGAGCCGCAAGGTTGCATCTAGACGTTCAGGCCTGTGCTACTTGCCGAGAGAAGCAATGGCCTTGTGAAGGAGACTACTGCCCCCTCCTTTTGGTTTGTCCTAATACATGGTCAATATCACAGCACTCGAGTACCGGGATCCATGCTAAGTGCGCCCGCTCGTATGTCGCAAGTGACGCACCGCTGTGAGCGGATCACGGGTGTTATTTCGGGCACATTTGCAAGCCATGCCAGAGGCCTTGAGAGCTTCCCACGGAACGCCAAGATAAATCGACCATTTTTTGTTGACCCCTTTTCGCCCGCTCTCGGCGCGAAGGCCACCGTTTGAATCAACAGGAAAATGCTCACTCGACCAAGGGCAACCACAGAGGGAGACGCATGTTGCCTACTGGTTTGAAAGCGCAATGCGGCAACACACCTCAAGGGTGATTCTATTGCCGATAGAAATATCCCCCGCCCGCAGGGGATCTTCCGCCACCGGGGACGAACTGTCCCCCTGGGTAAAAGGTTAGAGTGGATCCTCCACCATACCCCCCCCCGGCCATATACGGGCTTCCCCCACCCATTCCTCCCGTGCCAGGGTACCCCCCTCCCATCGCGGGGGTCCCTCCCCCCATGCCACCACCACCGAACCCTCCCCCGCCTCCCATCATCGCCAGCATCATCATCAATGCGCTCGATTGGGACTGGGACTCCCGAGCCGCGCTGGCTTGAGCTTCGGCCGCCGCCGCTTTGGCTTCCTTGGCTTCGTCGAGTGCGACCTGGACCTCTTTCTTGAACGTTTCGGCCTGTTCGGCGAGCTCCGCCGTTTTCTGCTCTGCTTTCTCCCTGGCCTCGCGGTCATCTTTACCAGCGGCCGCGGCCCGGTTGAGCTCTTGAAGGCTGAGGTGCGCACCTGGTGGACATAAGGGAGTGTCAACGCGTTGTTATCGGTGGGAGTTTGTCACAACGGTTGTTCAGACGACGCGAAACTGCTACCTCGACCACTGCACCGCTCACGACCTAACGGAGCATGCTCGAACCCGTCGGCAGCCGGCCTCACCCTTAACGAGGTCATTGAAATCCTTTCTCGTATCGGCCCAGCCTAGCTCATTGAGGAGGTCCGTGCGGACAAATTCGCCTCCCGTAGGCGTATTCTCGGTGACGAGACTTTTGATGTCCAGCTCGAGCTCGCCGAAATGTGAGGCCACAAGCTGGTTCCACTGATCCTCGAGAACATTCTGGTCCAAAGGAAGGCTGAACGCTCTGGCCTGCGGCGGCAAGATGAAAACGTGGCGCATGAACCTGGTCAGCTCATCATCAACGAAGAAGCTGGTACACCAAGCATCTCGGCCTTAACTAGAAGGGACCACTGGTAATCAGGCCCACTTTCAATATCGTACCACACCCGGCCCCGTACATCACATCCAGACAGCTGCAGTCAACGAGCGCAGGAAAGGATTGCCGACGGCTCGACGCCGTGTCTGAAAATAGTGATAGATGCACTGTTCAAATTCACAGCTTGGGTTCACGTGATCCAACAACAGGTTTGTCCATCAACCGTGGACTCATACCAACCTTTTCGGCGACGTTCGCCTCATGTCCGCACGCTATTGCTCGCATCCTGCTCTTGAGTTCGTGCCGCTTCGATTCTTGGTTACGAGATACAACCTCAGCTTTGGGGGAAACCCGGTCCTCCAACTCCTTCTTCGCGTCTTCCACGATGCCGACTGAAATCCCCTGCAGGGAAAGAAACCGGCAGGCCAAAAAGCCATTGGAAGTGTCATCGAGTTCAATGGCTAGCACACACGTATGGAAGACAGAGATACGCGAAGTTGCAGCCCCCGCCAATACACTGTAGCCTTGCGGCTGCTTGTATTCTTCCGGATCTGCGGCTAACCGGAACAAGCGAATGCAACACAGCCATTGGTGCCGGACATTTGTGTACTCTAGAGGGTTCCACGGGTTTGACATGCGTCTACCGACGAACACGGCGTCGAACCATGGCGGCAGCCGGTAGTTTCGTACCTCTGATGCCACGCTGAACTGCTGGAGGACGTGCTTGCGAGCTTCATCAAGTGCGGTGTTTGTCTCCAGAGTACTAAGAGCGAAGTGGCCACCTGTGCGGTGACACGATGCCAAAGTTAAGCGAATAGGGTAAGATTTGCGAGACTAGCAATGGCACGCCAAGAAAAGGAACGGGGAGAGAGATGCACTAAACCTCACCAAACGTTGATCCAAGCATCTTGTCGAACTCCACGAGGGCGCGTTGGACTTCTTGGTCAACCCGCGCAATGTCGATTGCCTCGAGCACACTGCGGACACGACACAGAACATGCAGGTCAAGGTAGGACGTTGTTCGACCCCAAAACAACGAAACCTCAAGCGAGGTGCTGTATGGTCTTCTACAACACAGTGACGGACCAAACAAGACACGAACCATGAACGTGCCACGGAGGCTGCCCTCTCGAGAACACAGTGGCGTACTTCAAACCTGGGAGGACATATTTTCCCGGTTTCGTTGATGGATTTGCACAGCCCCCCCACGATGTCATTCATGCGCTGTCCGCCCGCTATTTCCTTCTTGGCGAAGGTATGGGAGCTCGCCAGATAGCCTGCGATGATGCGCCTCAGCTGGCCGAGAGAAGCGCTGAACTCGGGCGTAACCGCCGACAGGGGCACGGCCCCACCTGCGACAAAGCGACGTTGTGGAGACGAGTGTCAAAGGCTGTGCTCTCTCCAATTCGTGCCCCGCAAACTCCACTCCACGCGACACTACTGTGAGTACTCGCTCGATCACAATGAGTGCGGAGAACGCACAGAGCGAAATAGCTCGTGGACACTCACGTTCGATGTTAGCATGAGGGCTGGGCATCGTATGGAAAGTGATGCTCTCGAACGCTTTCTTCAGCGTGGTGCGGATCAGGTTTCTCTCGGCCCCGTCCTTGGCGGCTTCGAAACTAAGGTCTTCCGTGTCCTCGATTCCCATGACGAAAGCCTCGGTTTCTGCGGCCCTGCCGGTCACGTCACGCAGGAGGATGATGAGGTGGCCGAAGGCGTGTTCCCGTTTGCCCTCTCCATTCACCACCTTTTCGGCGGCTTTGACCATGACCAGCAGATCCTGCAGCATCGTAGTCTTGTTGGGCAAGAACATCCAGTTGTAGATTACTACCTGCAGTGGTTCGCGTGATCGGGCGTCGTTTTGCAGGGAAAGGCGATTCAACTACTTCACTGATGGATTTCCATTGGTCCGACATGCCTTGCCGAACAACAGCGAAGCACGTCTGGTGCAGCGTGTTCCCTGTGTGTCAATACTCGTTATTCTCTCAAGACTTGAAGAATATTTCGCCCGGACAGACTGTCACACCCTCGGCTAACATCATGCTCTCATGGTTTCGTCATCCGTGCTTGAGCACCACACATGCTACAGGGGCGCCAGGCCACCCGAATACAATGCGCACACCGCGCCGATGGCTCGCTGTAACTTGAGCCCAGCGGCTGAAGGGTGGAAGGCCACCGCAGTACCCCGTTGGCGTGTACAGTACACGAGAAGGCCACGATCGAAACGATGATATGTATTTCTACACCGGGCGCAGGTGACCATCTGCGCGATATTCTGGCGATGTGACGGGCGCTGAAGGGCTTCGTTCGAGTAAAGCTATGACTCCGATCCAGCGGCGCTGACTTTAGGTCATTGCTCACCTTTGACACCACCAAGAAGGTCGTTGCAAGGCGCACGCCATGTTCATTGGACTTGTCACCCTGGCCTTCCATGTCCACGAACGCGATCGTTGGTTTGGGGGTAACAGGTGGTATGTGGCTCGTTTGACTCCCGCCAGCTCGCTCGAAGTCAGAAAGAGACGCGAGGAAAGGCGAGATGTCAGCCCCCGCTGTGCACGGCGCCACATTCGGCGACACAGGAAACAGGTCGTCGTGTCCCGTTAGCGCGTTCATCAGGAACGACTTGCCGCGTCTGGCGGCTCCCAGAATCGTGACGATGTTCAGCGGCTGGCCGGCGGGAACCGTATTCAACAATTGACAGGCTTCGTGCTTTACGCGAAGCACGCCGCACTTTTGGTCAGCAATGACCCAATTTTTGGCGGTGGGACTTCCCGGCATCACCACCGCATGAGGGGCTTGGGCACAGAAGGTTGCTTGCTCGAGGTACGTCTGGGCTTCTACTTTGCGCGATTCGGCTTCCTTCACGAGCTCTCCCACATTTCGAGCTGCCTTCTCTGCCGCCTCGATATCGTGCTTTCCTGCCCCCTCCACGGCACGTGCGAGCTCTTTTTGTGCCTCGCCCATGATCTGCGCTTCGGCGCTGGCATTTAATTCTTGCGTGCGCCTGATAGTTTCTTTCCAAGCCTGTTGTGCGTCAAAGTCGGCTTGCCCTTCCAAGCTCGTGACGGTCTCGTGGGCTTGCTTAGCTTCCGCCCCAGCCCTTTCACACTCTAGCATGGAAGATTTCATTCGTTCGGCCAGCTGGGTCACCATTTGGTCTGCCTCATCCCTGACCTTGCGGTCAGTATCGCCGTCCACCACCGCACGGTTGAGGGTTCTTGTGCAATGCTCCACCGCTGCTAGCAAGGAGTCAGATTGGGGGTTCGTCGTGGGATAAGGACGATTCACCCTCACGAATGCTGTAGATCGAGGCAGTCCACCGCACACGACGCGTCGCAAGCACGTTAACGTATGCACGTTTCACGTTATCTGCCACCGACTTTGCCGTCGTTGACTTTGCCTGCAAGCTCATATACACTCCATTTGTCGTAGCTTTGGTGACCTCTGTTGCTCTACGGTAAAGTTGCGTTATTGAGCGAACACGAGGTGTGTGAAGGCAACAAAACTTTCCTCTTCGCATTGCTGCTTCACCAACTGCCGCCTCTCAGAGTGAGGGGAATTTCATTAATCCGTATCCATGTTGGCATACTTTGGCGCATTGCTGTCGGGGCTTCGTCGTGTACAAGTACGAACATAGCGGCACAACCCCATCCTGCGGGCATGGTAAACATTTTGGTTTCTGATGATGATACTGCGCCTCTCCCACCCACGCAATCAGGCCAAATTGCTGTTGTTGTGTCGGTGGTACACGCTTTCAAACTTTAAAGGCGACGAAATACGTGCAATACGTAGAACACCGACCACAGATGTGCCGACCTCGATTTTCTTCCTGCCGGTCTGATTCTGTACTGGATATCTACAAGATGAAATAGGGACAAAACGGCGTACGTTCGGAATGCCATAGAGATGAATTTCCATCCATCCGCTTGGCCCTAGCCATGCAATCACTTTGCTCCACGTTTTCGCTGCCATATTCATTTCATGTACGTAGACTTTGAAAATGTGAATTTACTGCATGTGGATGCGACCATTAAATGATTCATCTCCAGTGCCTGTTGTGGACGATTGCCTTCGCATTGGCATCGACGAAAAGATGTATATACACATGCCTGATGAGGGTGGAGGACAAACCGGGTTCGAACCCAGCCACCCAACAAAACGGGGCAGATCCACGAACAACAAGTGTCCACACTTCACGAACGCATCGCACCCGTAAAACACGTGAACACTGTGAAGAAGAGTATCCAGTTCTCCCAATACCTCCCAATACCTCCTTGAATGTCTGAGGAGCAAACCAAAGAGGCCAAACAGTGTGGGGGGGGGATAGCATGTGGAGGTATCCGCACACAAGCTGCCATCGCCCCATCTCCCGCTGCCCGTCGAGGACGACTCCCTCTTTTAAACGCAGAACGGAAATTGGAGTCTTGGAAAGTGTCGGTTTATTGCTCACGTCTTGCATACAACCCCAACGAGTCTGTTTCTGCCGCAAGCAGCAATTGCCTTGAGTAGCACTGAGTTTCTGTACGTGGATCACCGACACAGCCTGCTTGGCATCTGTTTGTTTTCGCTATCGAGTAGGCGCGTTTCGCTACATAGTTCATGTCTCGATCATGCCGCCGGAGCTGGTCACTGAACAATCATGGAAGCCAGCGTTGGTTGGTGAGCAAGGAAACCAAGAGGCTAGTGCAAGTGACTGAGAATCCAGATCAACGAGACTTCTTCACAGGTTCTAGAGGAAGGGCTTACCCTTGAGTAGCTCCTCAAACGCCACCGCATTTGACCTGTTGCAGCGAAGTTCGCCAAGCAGAGCTTCCTCTGTCGGCGTTCCTATCGTCACCATCTTTTCGCCATCGACACATGGTTATGATACACGGTACGAGAGAGCAACAGAAACGTATCATTGTACAAGTCTACGTATGTACAGTATCTACATATAGTCTATATGCACACATGGAGCAGATGTATCCGTACATACATCGCGACGAAGTTCATGTTGTTCGAGACAAGTGCTGAACGTTGTAGCGAGAACCACTCAGAAAGACGACATTGATCATGAGTGGTCCACAAAACGAAAGATATCCAAGGTCGTGCGGGGGTAGGTCCCGCAGCACGGAGCTGGTTGAGATGATCGGTGGAGCGAAGCGCACAAGGCAACCTTGCAAAAAAATGCGACCCCTGGAGGCAGAGAGAGAGGAAGCGGCTCAAAATACAGTGGTGCTGCAGTGCACAGGACACCCGCCCACATGACTTGGTACTCGAAGCCTCGATATGTAGTGATTGCGTGAACAGGAAAACAGTTCACCACGCAAGTCTGTCTGTGCTTTTTTCGACGCAGGAGCATGCACCATCCCGACGCAGGCTGGCGACGAAGGCTGGCGGGTTTAAGTGGAGGGTCGCTTGACAGACTGCTGCATAGACTGCTGCATCAGCGCGGAGTTTTTCGTCCAACTCACTGCTGAGATTTTAATCGTTCTCATGGGCGTGCCCATGGGTAGCCAATGAGAGCCCTTCAAAACCGAATCAGTGTACTCCTAAACAATAGATTATCTGCTTTCGAATGGGCACTCTAACAGCTATATCCCTAACGCTAACCGTAACCCTAACCCCAAGCCCACACGAAACGTGTTAGGTGTGGCGCTGGTGGCTAAGTACTGCTGTAAGTTGATAACCCGGTGGCTAAATTCTAGGTTGATATGCCGGTGACGAAGTTCTACATAGATAGGTGGAAGTGCCCACGGTGGGTACTTCATGGGCTGCCCATGGGCCGCCCATGGGTATGCCCATGGGTGACCCATGGGAGTCCCATGGGTCGTTTGGGAAAACTGGTAGTAGTATGGGAGATTGCACCATTTGGCCGAGGAGTCAGGTATTTGACCGGGCCAAGACGGATCGATCTCGACAAAGAAAGGTGGGTATTTGTGGACGGAGGAGGCCGAGGCTGTTGTTCCTCGACAGAAGCCTCGGTGTCGACTATGCACATGCTGCTCAGCATTACAAGGGGCCCCATGAAGAGCCCATGGGCGGCCCATGGGTGACCCATGGGAGTCCCATGGGTCGTTTGGGAAAACTGTTACTACGGGTAGTATGGGAGATTGCACCATTTGGCCGAGGAGTCAGGTATTTGACTGGGCCAAGACGGGTCGATCTCGACAAAGGAAGGTGGGTATTGGTGGAAGGAGGAGACCGAGGCTATTTTTCCTCGACAGAAGCCTCGGTGTCGACTATGTACATGCTGCTCAGCATTACAATCTGCCCTGGACGAGGCCATCCTTGATCTGCAATGAAATAAAAGCGTCTGAGATTGGCTACCGCCAGCTCCCGGTTCGGAATAGGAACGAATTCGATAGTACCTTATTTTACCCACCGCCTCCCGGGCAGATCGGCTCCCAAGCGCTAACATTTGTGAGTGAGACGACGAATAGCCGCCGGCGTGTGAAGCAAGCTATGAAAAACACCTACAAAAAGACCGCTGTGGTACATACAGCGCTCGCTTTTACACCTGAACTCTACAGCAGTATATCCCGCCGCAAAACATGGAGAATCGACCCACATCTATTTTATGACGTCAACCCGTCACGAGCTGGAGGATGAGGGGAAACCCTATCTGAAGTAGTTTAGCGTCTTCTGTCCTTACCGTGAATAGTGACCTGACGGCTTGCCTGACGCTGGCGGTGGTCTGCAGGCGGGCGGCGTACGGACTGGAGGGCAAAAAGGCAGCTTTCAATGGGTTGCACCGATCACAGACGTACGTACGAACGTGTGGGTTTCGGAGGGATTTGTGGGAGTAATCAATTGTCATTGTGCATCATTCATTGGGGTCTGTTGTAGGATTCAGATGTGTAGACGGAACATACATTGTAGAGGAGAATGGTTCGGAGAGATGTAACTCCCCGCGTAAGGATAGAACAAAGGGGGCATGATCTTATTATTAATGTAGTAGCCCCTGCTTGAACAGAGGATCCTGGCCCCTTGGTATCATTCCTACCGATACATACCCAAGGCAACAGCTACTGCTTAGCTGCTGCTGCTGTTCCGCAAGAGGAATAACGAGTTGGTTCTTCTTCACGGGTGTACTGTAGTACCAGATCGCACCACGCGTGCATACGTTTCTTTGCAGGTCGACACAGACGATGCCTGTAGGCTGGAAGTGGGACCAAGCTTTTGCGGGTTGCGACTTGAACATGTATGATTTGTTAAAAAAAATAACAGAGGGACGCTGTTTTCTGCACACATGAGTACAGTAGAGACAACAGCTAGATGATGATGTAAACCTCGAGGTCATGATGGCAGCCCGAGACAGGGTGATGGCACGTCGTAAGTTATTTGAAAGGCGAAGGTTTACCGGTGGTCGCTGCGCGGTAGAGCGGCCATGCGTAGGCTTCCGGACCTTGGAATAACACGTCTTCAACTCGGAGGCATGTAGACTGCTGTATGCATGCATGTGCGTGCATACGCTCCGAATAATCAATCCATTGGTACGTACAATCCCGTTCGACTGTGGGTATATCTCGAGTGGGTAGTCTTTCTGTGTGTGTTTTTATCATTCCTTAATGACCAGGCCCGCTTGACCGAACCCACACACAGAGAACGCACAATGTGAGCCCTGCCCGCGCCCATACGCTCCTGCTTTTCCCAGAAGAGCACACCAGCACAAACAACCACATCAACCTCCCCTCTAGCAGTGCACCCAACCCCACCTCGGCTTGCTCCCACCACCACCAGCTAGATGTATGCGATATGGTTCGTCAATCCTGGGATTAGCTCCTGTGCTGCCAACAACCATAGATCATGGCCCAAAGACTTGACTGGGCGTACAGTAAAACCGTCGCGTCGCCGGTGTATTTATCAAACAATCAAAACAGTTCAGTTGCTGTCAACACTCACACACATGCATAATGTAGCCTTTCACTCTCAGAAAAGTTCTCTTCTTGCAGTAGACACTGTAGATAACAACAAGGTAGCCTTTCAACAATCTCTCCGAATAGACTTGGTACGTACCAGATAGACTTGGTACGTACCAGACTTTCTTTTCATTATCAACAATCAATCACGTATGGTCGTCTTTCATTATCAACAATCACGCATGTTAACGTCGAAACACCGAGTTTCCCCGGGCATGTGGACCCCTCTGGGTGGAACACGCCCCCACACACCACAACACGGTATTTTGTCCACAGAAGAAAACCAAACATCCGCCAATTGGTCACATCGAACAAAGGGTGAGTCCCGAGATACATAGGTAGTGTGTCAAATGTTGCCGTAACCTTGAGGATGCACACCGTGCGTCGAAGGATATCTTGATGTCGGTCCTGCCGACAAATGTCGGTCCTGCCGACAAATCGCACATCCGCGGAAGCCTTCGTTTTCTTTTCTTAACACGTGTGTGTGTGTGTATAATGTCGGGGGTCTTCGCATGCCTCTCTCACTGAGCACGCCCATGACAATGTGTTCCATGTGCTCACCATCTCCTTCTCTTTTCCTCGTTAATACAGTAGTTCGCCGTCATCCACCAGGCAATATTCATATGTCACTCCACGAGGTCATGAGGAAAGACATGTTCACCGAAGCTCCCTGTACTGCTGTGTAGATGCCTTGCCAACACTGTGCTATGTACGAACACTTGGACAGTGTTGATAGGACCAATTCTTGCTGCGGTGCTGTTGTACCCGTAACTGCAAGACGTGAGGTGCGGTGTCGGTGAAGACCAAAGAGAGTCTCATGTGAAGAAGAGTTATACAGGGGTGTTGTGTCGGGTCTGATGCACTCGAATCTGAACATGTTTGCCACAAACATTTTTCGGCGAAAATACCATGGAGTAGATGCAATGCATGTCCATTTCGTGAGCGCGCAGCAAACAACAGACGAATATCAATGGCTTCTCCCCTCTCACGGAGTCGAAGAAACAAACAGGCACAGGTGCTGGCTTGCGAAACAAACAATCTGGGTAAACTTCAATCAAAGTTTCATCCACCTGTATGTGTACGTAGTCTATTCGTCAAAATCTCGGCAAAATTCCAACCAAGGCTTCATCTGCCTTCATCCTGCTTGATTTATTCGTTTGAGACGAGTGAAGTCGGTGGAATCCCACGTTCCGGCTCAACATCAACCGCAGCGGTCAGCTTGACCGCCAAACGATGCTCTGTGAAAGATGACCCAGAACATGTTGTACTCACCCCGTTTATTCTTCAGCAGGTCGCATCGATATGGAAACCGCTGTAAAATGGGTCACTGTCACTGACGGGAGGCTTCAGGCAACCGAGGAAGCATGCGAGCGGCTTTCGAACGTTTCCGACGACCAGTCACTGAGCGTCGTCACGATTCTCGGCGCCGCAAGGCAGGGAAAGTCCTTCCTAATGAATGCGCTGACACGTTCCGACAACGTCTTTCGTGTGTCACCTGAAGTGTATCCGTGCACGGAGGGAGTCGACCTCTTTCCCATCCTGATGCCTCTGTCCGAGTTCAAGAGGGGGAGCGCGCGCAACATCACTCACCTTCCCTCAAGCTCGCCGCAACCCACGATCGGATTTGTAGACATGGAGGGTCAAGGAGATCGGTCTGACGAACGTGACGTGCGCCTAGCAACACCGTTCCTACTGGTTTCCAAGGTGAGGGTGGGGAGCACTCGTGACAAGGATCGGTGTGAAAACCTGTCGCGTTCGGAATTCGATTGTGTTTTCCCTACCCTCACCATCAATTACCACGGTTAGCCTGAAACATTCATTTCTTTCAGCAGTAGTCCTTCTTTGTCACGTGTCTGCCCGCTATTGCGATGTTCAGATTTGCTGCTGCCATGGGTGGTATTCACGATTACAGATGATCATGCGGCTGTTGTATTGGTTGCCCCGGTTTTCGCCGACTACCGGTCGACGAACAACGTTTTTTTCCATCGTGTTACAATATGTGTAGCAATATGTACTGTCGGCCACGAAACACTCAACATTGCTCTGTTCGTCGAGGAAATCTAAACTCAAAGTTCATCGATTTTCATTGTGTTTCCTAAGCTTGAAAAGGCAGGAAATCAACACTCATTCTTGACCTCTGCTCGAAATCCAGACCATGTCTGTCTATTGTCTTCAACCAATCAGAGCTCGAGTTGGTATTTATCTTGATTTGTTAACCTCGAACCTCGTTACTCCGTGTCTATTCGCATGTTGTTGCTGTCTTCACACTGAAAACCGTTCCGATCTCTCAACCCAGTACCTCCTTCTGTCCGTACTGATCAAACACTTACCGAGAGATTCCCGTGGTCACAGGCTATGTAACTTACCAAGGTACACTCAAATCAAATGGACCCGAAGGGTCCGCCAGTCAAGTAAAATCAACGAACCACCGATAGTTTGGGGCCCTCTCGGCTCCCCTCTACACACGCGATATGTGGGACAGAAATGAACAGGACTTCAACATCGCCGGCCAGAGAGAGACAGGTCATCCGGGGAATTTACGAAAAGGACAAAACAGAATGAAAGATAAAAAAGCACAAAGAGAAGAGGAAAAGGAAAAACGAGACAGGAAACAAATATTTAACAACGACACAGACACGAAGGCAAAAATAAGCCACACGCCACCTCACAAACCGAACACACACAATCAGGGCCACCATCAACAGCCAAGGCATGTCCTCATTCGTGGGGGTATGAAGCAATGGTGTAATGACGGGGAGGGGGGGGGGGGGGGGCATCAGCGAATGAGTTCAATTCGGTCTATGTTGCCACGAGACGTGCAGTATAAAGTATGAAAATATGTGAACCGGCCTAAAATCATCAAATTATGCTTTCCTCTGTAGTTTGAAACACAAAGTCCGTATATTTTCGACCTTGGACACATAATTCAGCCAGTAACCTTCCCAGGTTTTGCAACAAATAACATTATTGGGTATTGAAAGAAAATGCAACGGGGTTGCATGGACCACCATGAGGTACCATGAGAACATTTCAACTTCGACAATGCTATTTGCCCCACCCGTGGAGTGAATTCATAATTGCTCCACAAGGCAGATCTCCGCCCACAGAGCTCCAATCGACTTCAAACCAATTGAATCGTGTAGGCTACAGCTAACTCAAAAGCTACTTTAGAAGGTGAATCAGACCAGTGGCTGCAGAGATATGCGGAAAAAAGCGGATTCCGCAGCATATCAGGAAGTAGCAATCGTCTCGAACCTCCGTCCACACAGCTCCAATTGACCCCAGACCGTTCGCATCGTGTTAGCACGGTCCATACCGTTCATGCAAGCTATCGCATACTCAAATTCAATATATTTCTGCAGAGAGTGGTCAACAGAGGGGGTTCCGCAGCATCTAGGGGGGAGGGGGTAAATGTCATGAGTCCCGCTATACCTCCCATCACATAGTTGAAACGCGCCTACATTTGACCGCACCGTGTTGGCACGGCTCACAGCTATCATTCAAGCCATCGGGCACCCCAATCGGACCACCAGTGGGTGCAGAGGAACGCCCACCAACGGGGGATCAGTGTCTTAAAGGCCGGTGGAGCAGATAACCCATACCTGCTCCACCAGGTCAAACTCTATCTACAGGGCGTCGTTTGCCCTATGAAAACTTGCGGTGTGTCGGCACCGCTCACAGCTATCATGCTAGCCATCGGACACCGCAATCGTACCAGTGGGTGCGGTTTCAACTTTAGGAACGCTGCCCAATGTGGCGATATGAACAAAGTTGGGCTGCACACAATATGAAATAAAAAACCGAAATGTGGTACCTCGTCATTCGCCATGGACTGTTTTCGTCGCTTCATGGTACAAACATACAGGAGAGATAAATGGAACAAGAGAAGAGGGAGCCTGAGAAAGCTGAATTGCTGTCATGGAGCAGCACTATGATGGCACATCTCACCATCATGTTCCCAAACCTCCCATGGTGCACCATGAGGGCCCATTGTGCGTGACAGTAGATCATGAGAGTTGGGAAAGAGGTGGCCTTAGGTCATGATGTGCATAGTACAGCAGACGGGAGGCAGAGGAATAACTCTTGTGTGGGCTTCATCCTTTTTGAGCCCGGCTGTCGCGTCCAACATTTGTCCAAAAAATTGTAAACGGCCGAAGGCAAGAACAAAAGAGATGATGAATCATATCTAGGACGTACCTCTGACTAATACACACATTGAGGATGAACTATGCTGTTTTTTTTCAAACAGGCGACGGAGGTTGCCCTGTTGCGGGAGAACGACGCACAGGGAAGCATGCTATCAAGGGGCTAAACCCGACATTTGGGACCAAGTATCAACCAAACAAATCACACTCATTCCCCGTAGATGCGAACACCAGTGGAACAGTACAAGAGGACGACACGCTCATTTGTTCCTCCTGTAATATTTGCAGGTCGTCATCTTCAACTGGCTGGGCTTGCCCAACAAGAGCACCATCCTGGAACGGCTGGTGGTGATGATAAAGGCTGCTGAAAAGGTATCGAGGCGCAAGAACAAAGGTGAGCCCATGTTCGGCCACCTCATCCTCGTGATGCGCGACGTGAAACAGAAGGCTGCGGAGATCGAGGCGCTGATCATGGACGACGAGGATGGCGGCCTGACGCACGAAGATGCTGAAGGCGTGACGGAGCGCAACCTCATCCGGAAGAGGCTGAGGGCGGTCTTCAAAAGCACGGTCGTCCACACGATGCACCGCCCCCACCCGGACATAGCAGGTGACGATGTAACAACAACAAGAAATATCACGACGTTTTGCGGCGCAAAGGCACGTTGCGCACGCCAAGGCAAGGGTAGAACGGCAATCTTACATATGTTTGTTGTAGTTCCCGCAAACCATCGCCAACTGGGCGATAGTCATTTTTTGTTCCAGGCTATTGGACATTTCTGTGACTCAATCACCGACCCGCCTGATGTCCCTGTATCTCCGGCAGACGAAGCGGTGCCTCTGTCTGAGGTATCTCCAGGGTTCACGACCTCGCTCGATGAGCTGAGGGACACTATCGCAGAACACCTCACGACCCCGCACACCTTCGCTGGCCAGCCCATTGCTGGCGGACAGCGCCTCCATGACATCGTCCGAGGCCTGTGCGAGGCAGTCAACTCCACCGGGGATATCTGCCCTCCCAGGTGCGTATTAAATGTGTAGAAGCTCCTATCGTGAACACAAAAGAAACCTCGCCGGCTTGCCAGACTTGAGGTTGCAGCAGATGGGAGGACGGCGTGTCTTTTGTATCATCTTCTGGAGCCCGCCCTCCTGAACAGCGGGCATGTCAGCCGGACGAGGCGATCGTTCTTCGAGGAAACAGGACGCTCCGGCGATTGGATTCGCTGGCGGATCGTTGTGACACCTCAAGATGACGGGGGCATACATAGTCCATGGTGGTTGTCAGGGCTCCTGTGGTCAAGGTTACATCTGTATTTGTCGTATGGCATGTATGTAGTACCACGTTGTCGCATTGCTTCGCCGGCCTGACTCTGACCTTTGCGAGCACGGGAACGACAACACCATTCGCAGCGTGCTCGAAGCCATCGACATGAGGTGCACTCAGGAGGAGAAGGAAAAGGCGCTCGTCCTTTTCGACGCCATGATTAGTTCGGCCAGAAACGGTGAGCGTGGAATGCGGTTTAGTTCCTTTGCTTCGGCGCCCTGTGAAGTACTAGCATAAGAACGAGTTTACAGCTCAACATGTACTCTGTGTAGGCCGGTAGAGCAAGAGAGGGAGGCGTGCCTAAGAAGAAGAGGTCCAGAGGAACGTAATTCGAGGCATAGAAGTGACTAGCGTGGTGGAATACATCTTCGTGTCTCTTGTTGTGTGCGATGGAACGAGGCTGCTTGGGAAATGTGTTGTTGTGCTGATCTTCCCAGCACACTTTCCGCTCCATTCTGGCCACACGCTATGTGCAGGTGTCTTGGTATTCAGCACGCGCGAGGTTACTCGTACCATCAATGACGCTCGCGAAAAGGCGTTCGAGCAGTTCGACCAGGCGACACAGGTACCGGCCACTCCTTCAATGCAGGTTACGCTGAAACAATAGAAGAAGTGGATGCTGCCACGATTATCATGGTCGGAGAAGCTAAGACCGAACCTCGTTACGGTGTTTAGTGGTTTTGGGAGGGGCCCCAATCGCTGTTATCAATCTGCCTCGGGCAATTGATAACAATACTGCGGTGAAATGGTATAACCCGAATGTGCGCATCTATCTGATGGTACGAAGGAGGCCAAGTCCTTGAACCCGTTGAACTCTATGGCTTGCTCCGACTAGCGCACCGTCGGTTAACCACTGGCATAATTCGCCATACGCAGGCGATATCTTCGCGCATCACGAAGGGCGTGCACGAAGAGCTGGTCGAGCAGATGTCGCCCAAAGCTGCGGTTGTGGCTGGCAGCCAAGACACGAAGCGTCGTGAGCTTTCAGCCAAGATGCAAGCGCGGGTATCATCAGCCGAAGCGGACGTTTCCGGGACGGCGCTGGGTTGGAACGCGGTAAGCCGGTTCTTTTTGGGTGTTTCCCGCACGCTTGCCGAGTAGGTCTAACATATCTAGCGTGGGGAAGATTCACATGGAGACGATCGTCTGAACAAATATCTTCGAGGCGAATACGGGCGTATTGTAGACGGTGCCAGAATGTAACAAACGACGCGAACGTGCCGATAGTACAGTCCCCGTTGATGTTATGCCACTAAGCCAGACCCTCCCAATCGAATGTCGATCCAGATGAACGAGGACGGCGATCCTACCGGCATCGACGAACACAACCTCAATACGCAATGGAACCAGCTTGTCCGATCCACGTTCCAAGCCCTTCAGAAGGATCTCAAGAAAATGGCCACTGTCAATCGCGTGGTGAACGAGGCTCTGCTCCATGAACTGGGCTGGAATCTATCGACGAAGCAGTTCGAAGGTCTCGTCAAGGGTAAGACATGCGTTCCTGTACCAGATCAGAGCTCGCGGTACAGGCTCGCTGACAGCCGCCCACCGACGCAAAAGAACGACATTTGGAGGCCATAGAATGTCCTCACATCAGTGTTGGGCTCGATCTGATGACTAAACAACAGATCCATGCGGTTGCTATGTCCCTATGGTGCAGCGTATTCAAATGCCAACCTTGTCTGCATCTACGTGTTGCAGGTACGCGCACGCAGGTGCAGGAACGCAACCGCACGGCGCTTGCACGCGAGGAGGACCGCAAGGCCAAGGAAGCCGCCGAGAAAAGGGCCAAAGAGCTGGCCGACCAAAACGCATCGTTGGAGAGGGAAACCGCGGCGGCTAATCGGCAGCGAGACGACGCACGGCGACAACAGCAACGGCGACAGGAACCGGAAAGTTCGAACGACTCGTATGGAAACTTGCAACGTGCATGGCTCGCGCACCGCCTGTTGGGCGGAGGCTACGGAGGAAATGGGGGCTACGGAGGCTATGGGGGGTATGGGGGATACGGAGGATACGGAGGATACGGAGGATACGGAGGCTATGGAGGATACGGAGGGTTCAACCCGTTCGGAGGCTACCGGTAAACACACTGACGACTCTCTACCCGGCGCTCTCACGTGTTTGGGTGCCGGCGGAGGAAACTGCCCTGCGAAAAGGCCAAACCGTAGGACACTTGATCGCTTTCCTTGTGGTCGCTGCGAAACCACCGCAGAAAAGACTTGCCAACTGCAGTACGGGTGGGTGAATTGCAAGGACACGGGCTTCGCTGGGGTCGACTGCGAGAAATCCACCTAACACAGAGTCCCTACAGTACGCGATTTTTTTTCACTAAACTGGGCCACTTCGTCGTAACTTGCAGGTGGTGGGTGTTCGTAGTCATCGTGTGGTTCCCCACATACAGAGACGAAAAGGTCGCCAACAGAAACACCACCTACCGACTGTAAGGGGATCCATCAAAGTGTGCATTGTGTGTGTGTGTATTTTTTTCTTCTTCTGAGACGTACTTGAGCCACCAAAAGATAAAAACACCAAACGTTTCAGACCCTACCAAGCGGCCGGGGGTTTGGTTGGGGTTCAGATATCGCATTAGCTTGGACGGAATGGCTTCATGCTCAGAAATGAACCTTCATCTTGCGGTGTAGAAGCACTTGAGACGCTTATGCGGAGGGGTTCGTAGGGGGTTCACGAGGTTCTGTGTTATGATCTACCGGGACAGGCCTTTGTGTCGTTGTGAGCTACGTGGAACATGATTTGTGGATTCTAGGCCTGTGACGGTCTACACACTTTTGCTGTGATGTTTCAGGATGGCCGAAATGGGGAAATTAGCGGAAAGCGCCGAGAAGCACTTTTAGCGGGTTGTTGGATGCTGCGAAAACCGTGGGTGGTTCTATATTTCGCCGCCCGGCTCCCAGAGAAAGAAAGAGGCCGAACCGAAAACATTTGATATCCTGAGCCGGAGCCGGTACTTACTGTGTCAAACGAAGGGGGAAAGGAGATAGATACCTATGGTAGGTTAGGCGGCGAAAAACGGGGCAACACGAGACGGGGCGCTCACGACCAACAGAGTGGGTTCGTCCACGCTTTACGTGGAAAAATATTCGGCAAACGGAAATGGCGTGTTCCCACCCGCCTACCGTACATACACCACCCGCCCGTGGAGGCATGTATTTCGAAAATAGTTATCACGGAGCGTGTCACTGCTGTGTCGGGATTTGCTTTCATATGTCGTCCACCAGAAATTCATCTGAGAGTAGTGGTTTCTTTGTTTTCTCGCGGTAATGTTGACATCAATAACTAATATAACCACCGGGCGTGGTATAATAGTGTGTTGGGGGGCGGTGTTATCATGTGGGTGTGAATATGTTGTGAGTGTCGTAGTCTGCAGGGTATCCTCTAGGGTGGGAGGCAAGGGGAGGACAGAGCCGTACAAAAGTTTCATGGCATCAAACAATAGTACATTTTTGTGTAGAGGACAACGGTAGGGTACCAATATTGGAAGAGTGGCGGTCGGGGAACTATACCAAGCAGCCTTTGTAATAGGCCTGTGTTGTACTTCGTACACAGGTTACAATAGTATGTTGGACTGGACCGTGATGGGGCCGCACAGGCCGGGGAGAGAATGAACGGAGAGGGGAGAAAGAAAAGTCACACGCAAAAGGAAGTTGTTGAAGCTGTCAAGGGAGCATATGCGGACGTCGGATGCAGAAGGTGGTACTCGGGAGAGGGGAATTGCGGGGGCGAGGGGATGAGGACGTCGTCGAGGAAGACGCTATCGAGAAAAACAGCAGTGCGTGCAGACGCTCCAACCAAGAGGGTAGCTGGAAGTGTGGTGCTGATTCTGGACACTGCCAGGAAGCACAGAATCACAAAGTTAAAACAGGAAACAGAGGGCGACGAGGGGATTCAATTGGGGGACAATCTTTTGATTTGGAAGTGATGGCGTTAGCGATGTCGGCATACACGCACGTGCAACGTGTTGGGAGACTTAAATGAAGATGGGCCTGGGAGGAAATAAGAAGCCATGGTGGTGATGGAGGGCAGCGATAGCGTGGTAGCGTATGTGATGACGGACATGGGGGGTGGGGGGGTCTGACAAGGCTCTGACAAGGTGGTTGAGGGTACTGATCGGATGATACCGGCAAAAGTTGCGTGTTTGTTAGAAGGTGCTTACAGATAGAGGGCGGAAGGACTTCACGTGTAGACCAAGTTTCGTCCCAGCAACAACCTGGCGAAAAGATAAAATATCAGTATATCGTTTTTTACATTCCGTCGATGGTTTCGGAATTTCGTCAGCCCTAGAGCATCTCGTCCCCTTGCATCCGTATTTTGTACGGGATCGTGTTTTCGGAGAGAATGACTGACGGAAATTGCACCCGCAGACATGATCATGAAATAGCTCAATTGAGGGTGCCAACAACGGGTGCCCTACATTACTTGTCAATTCCATGGAACTCCATGGAATATTCCATGGAATACCATGGAGTTCCATGGGGTTCCACGGAGTTCCATGGATTTTCACGGAGGTCCATGGTGTTCCACGGATATCCGTGGAACTCCATAGCATTCCATGGCACTCTATGGGGCTCCATGGAGTCTCCATGGAGTTCCGTGGTGGTGGAGTCCACGGAATATTCCGTGGAATTCCACGGAACTTGCCGTGGAACTTGCCATAGAATATTCTGTGGAGTTACCATGGCTTGCCATGGTTTCCATGGAATACCATGGAACTCCATGGAATCTCCGTGGTATTCCATGGAAATTCCGTGGAGTAAAGAAAAAATACGACATGGATGAATAAAATCATGTCGAAAACCAGAGAAGAAAGGAAAAAGGGTGGCGAAAAAGGGATTCTCGATCCCGAGACTTCGAGTGCACGGAGGCTTGGTTGGACCTCATGGGATAGATGTCACCAAACAATTTTTACTCGTCGGACAATATTTGCCTTGATGTATGTAGCGCTCACGGTTATTTCCCTTGAATTATCTCCACATTGCCCCCAAGCCAAAATGGTAACGCGAAAAATCTGATGACTTTTTGTTTTTGTTGTTTCCACGGTTCTGAATATCTTTGTGGTTCTCCCTCGCTTGCTTCTCTCGTCTCCACTCTGCCAAAAGATCACGAAATCGATTCCAAGTGTTGTTTGGAGCCACTTGAATTTTCGGCGCCGCCACCAAAGAGAAAGTATAAAAAGTCAGAAACGCCTCAGACACCGACCGATACGGTCACTTGGGCGTGGCAAGAAGGTCAACATAGTTATCAACCTTCCCACCCAAAACGAAGTTCCGATCGTGATCATCGAAGCCATGGTTAGAACCAGGTGGAACCACCTAAAATTAGATCGCCACGCCTTTTGTTGTTATCTGCAACCAACAAAAGGCTTGTCCATGGCCAGAAATCTACCTGTGTGACGAAGGCACTGGAACAAAAGCTAGGAATACACCCATTATGATGACAAGATGGCCACCAGAAAGACCTCTTGGTGACTAGAAAACAACATGCGCTAGCAATCATACAGAAGGGCTAAATACACGTATGTACCAAGTAGCACCTGACGCTGAACATCCCCCGCCCAGCCTTGGTCACTCTCGAGAAACCCAGGGGAAATTATGTAAGCTCTTCCCCCTCCCCGCCTTTTCAAACTTGGTGTACCCTTTACTTCCCCGAGTCTCAAAAGAAAGACGAAGAAATGCCAAGCTCTACATGTCCCCTCCACTTTCAAAGCACAAATGCCACTAGTAGACTACTCCATTAATTTACAGTCAGCAAAATACGAATCCTCTGCCCCCCACCCCGTCAAGTTCTCAAACAAACATCTCCTTTCACCTTTGACCCGTGTTTTGATCAGCCTTGGGTGTATTTTCAGTGAGCACGAGCGAAACATACGCACCTGACACACTCAAAAATAGTATGCTACAAACTCCCGGACAAGCTTTTCGTTTGGGTTGTCGGTGCAGCCAATACCGTCACCATTTTCTTTCTTGAACTGCATTGTTTTCCTTCACTCAACAAAGGAAATCTCACCGATGACCCCGTGTTTTCACGCCCAACATACATATATATATGTACGTTTCCCGTGTGGTGTTGGCCCTGTGGAGCTCAAGTGCCATCGGCACGTCTCCAAGCATGGAATCCGCTTTGAGTCACTTGTGCCCCCCCCCCCCACACATTGAAAACCCGCAATGTACACCGAACGGCAGCAACGACATCGAGGGACACTTCTTGGGTCATCTGTGCTGTCCAAGAAAAAAACGCCAGCAACACACACCTTGTAACATGTATCCACCAAGCACACAAACAATCATTCATGATGATCAACGACATAGGGCTACCCACGTAGACGTAGATTTTTCCTGCACGCAAAATATGAAACCAATGGACAGTGCCTTCATGCCCACAACACCAACGTCAATATGCTGCCTTCCTAACACAT